AGGGGGGCTATATGATTCTCTGGTGGTCCAGTGGTGTGTACTGTGTGGGGGGGGGGTGGGACAGGAGCAAGCTGTTACTTACCTTTGGAGCAGCTCCGGTCAGCTCCCTTCACTTCTGCTCACAGTGTAAGTCTCGCGGTCTGCATGCCACGCAAAGCATTGCCTCGGTAGCCCGTGGCAATGCTCTGACGGCCGCGGGTCTCGCAAGACTTACACTGTGAGCGGAAGAGAACGGAGGTGATGGGAGCTGACCGGAGCTGCTACAAAGGTAAGTAACAGCTTGCTGCCGGCCCCCAACAGGACCGCCGGGCTTGTAATGAGCCCGGCGGTCCTAGTCTGTATTATGGCAATGTAACTTGCCATAATACAGACACTGATTCGAGTATAAGCCGAGGGGGGCTTTTTCCGCACAAAAAATGTGCCAAAGAAGTCGGCTTATACTCGACTATATACGGTAATTGCTTGTAGATGATATTGCAAAATTTTGGAAATTTTTGATTTATTGAGGGGCATCATGGTTAAGTATATGCAAAAAATAGGAGATGATCTGACATTCGCTGAAGTTAAAGTGCCTTAAGTGTAAATTCCATCCAGGGGTTCAATCTTCATTCTATATTCAAATCAACATAGGTTGACTGGAGTATATGTACTCAAGAGAGAAAAAAATACAATTGTAGTGCACAATAAAGCATATAATAAAAAAAATTATATTTAATCACTTACATCAAGGTTAAAAACAATGTCACCACATACATATACTCCGGATACAATTTTATTGTATTTATTGTATTTTTTCTCTCTTGAGGACCCCTGGTGGTGACTCAGATATACTACACCTATTGTTTTTAACCTTGATGTAAGTGATTAAATTGATTTTTTATTACATACTTGATTGTGCACTACAATTTTATTTTTTCTCTCGAGTACATATACTCCAGCCAACCTATGGTGATTCTAATACAAAATAAAGATTGAACCCCTAGAGGGAATTTACACTTAAGGCACTTTAACTTCAGTGAATGTCAGATCATCCCCTATTTTTGCATATATATTTCGTGGAAGACAGGATGAAGTCTTTGGGGGTACTTTTGGAAGCTTCGCCTTGTACAGGGAAGTTTCTGTCTGCTAATACCTTACTTTGCACTTTGCACTAATTGCACTTTTTGGTTTGTGTACACACATATTGTGTTTTTCCTGCACATCATTGTTTAAGGTCTGGATCTGGAGAAAGAAAAAAATACAAAGGCAGTCTTCTGAAATTGATATTTCTGAAAGAATTGACAGTATATGCTATGACAACAACCATCACTCTTTAGATGACTTTTAGAACAGTTTAATAAATATATTCAAATTATTGTCAGAATTTAAATGTCACTTTTCAGAACACATTATAAGTATTCCTGCAATGTCTCATTTTGTCTGCAAATGTATCCATAGTTACATTCTAACAACGTTCCAATAGCTTTTTTCCCCTCAGGATGATCCTTTCTTGAGCATAACATTTCCTTTAATGCATGGAAAGTAAATTATAGTATATGGTATCAGCTTCAACTGCATGTACTGGTTCTCTTTGCAACATGAAAAAAACAGAACTTAAGGCAAGTAATCCACTGTGCTTCCAATTATTTTCTATATAACCGTTGGTTACAGCGTCACTTGCCAATATAGAGAAAAAGCTAATGAAAAACGTAGAAAATCCCTCCCTTAACCATATCATTTATCTGCTTTCGAAACTACAGTTCTATCCAATGTATTTTTATGCTGTTACTATTTACACTTTGCATATTCATCAATTTTAAAAGCATTTCAGATATTGCAATATTACATAGTAATTTAAATATGTATGGACATTGTATGCAATAAAACAGTATTTTATATTATAAAGCTATTTTACTGCTAACCCACTAAAATGAAAAACTACAGTTCGAAAATATATTATAGAACGTATTAGTATTAGCTAAGCAAATTTTTTTATTTTTTATAAAACCTTGCTGGCCCTCACTGCATCTTCCTATACTCCAGCTTATTTAGACTGAAATGCTCTATTTAGCTCTATATAACTTTATTAAACATGTCTGTGTATCTTATAAAATGCTCATTGACAGGTTACATAAAAAGAACCCTCTGCAAATATCAATGTTGGTGCTGACAACAGAGCCAAAATATGCACAGTATTAACATTAGTCAGTCAAGAACTCTCATTCCAAGCTGATTGATGACTCAAGCAGAGGTGGAGCTACACCTCTGACAGTGTGGGTTTTAACTCCATATGTGAAGTATTTCAAACTGAAACATTGCACATACAGACTCCAAGCACCATAACCACTTCAAATGACTAAAATAGTAATTGGCCTTTAAGTCATGGCATAAATTCATAGTGTATCTTCTCACCACTCCATTAGCATCAAGGTGTGAGGATTGCACAATAAACAGTACAGCAAGTGGCAATTCATTCTCCATTTTGGGAAATTACAGACAATTTGAGACACCCTTTGCCAGTGTGGGACAGGTCATCTACTTGTACACCCACCTCATAAGCATGATGGATGAGTTTCTGGAAAACATAAAATTAGTTCCTGGTGTGGCACTACAGTTCTATGTAGCATCAGTGGTCAGAAAGCTGGAAGATCTCCTCAGTAGTCATCTAATCAAATGTCTAAGCAAATGAGTTGCTTATTGCCCCAAACTGATGCTACCTTCCCTGTATTAAATTAGGTGTAAAGTGGCACTCCAATCCAACATACTGGAGGGATTTGAATTGAAGTAATTTGAAGTGAATTAGAGGCATGCTGGTTAAAGATTAAGTAAATCCACCATTACGCCATTGTCTACTACCCCCATCGCTGGCAGTTTAACCCCAAGACAGAAGAGTGGAGCAGTTAAGATATAGTTTAATGTTGTTGGTGGTTTGGTGGGAACAAGTAAAGCAGCAAGCAGTCAAAAGGAAAGTAGTGCATCTGAAATGGTTGTAGCTTATCTATCTGCACATCTTTTGTCTCCAAGTGAGAACCCTCTGAGCTATGTGTCTGGTTGCCCAGCAAATATTGCCATGTCCCCAACCAATATCAAAAGTGAGGGAGTGTTTTCTGTTGCAAGGAACAATCTGAATCCCCAACACTCACAAATGTTCCACAAATGATGTAGCAAATAGCCTTCCACGAGTTCTAAATCCCCCAAGTTGAGTTACCCTGCTCTTTCTTTTTAGAACTGTTAAAGAACTGATTTTTTTGCATTTTAAGCATTTCCCACACTCCCTACTCTCACCCACCAATTCAAACAAGATTGGATCATCCTATACCAGCCAGCTAGATTAATAAGTGATCGTCCTCATTCCCATCTCTTTCCTCCAATTACATTCTCACATCAATGAACAAACTACTTTGTTCCCCTGTTCCAAGAGGTGCCGAGGTGGCTAGCACTGTAAGACTATTCAGAAAATGACACACACAACACTAAGTGTGTTTGATGTACTTCTCCAAATCCATGTGCACATTTAAATAACAGGAGGTGTCTAATGTCCCTCTAGTGGCCACTAAAATGTAAACTCACCTGCCCCATCAAGGCAAACCTCTTAAGTGAGTCCTACACTAACAATTCACCTTGCTGCTTTAAGCTAAAAGGTAAAATCTCTAATGAGACAGAAAGGGGTATGTTTATGAACCCCTACACAAATATTAACCATTAATAAGGAACACACCAGGTGGACGGCAGCACTGTAACATGGATGTGTAATACAAACACATAAAATTAAGCCCTGCGCTCAAACTCACACTACTTCTGATTTCGATTCTTTTTGAGTCCTTCTTCTGGTTCTCTTTAACCCTGTAAGGACACATGACATGTGTGACATGTCATGATTCCATTTTATTCCAGAAGTTTGGTCCTTAAGGGGTTAAGGAAATTACTGAATATGCATAGTATTTCTGTTGGTCAAATGTGCAGAAGTATAAGCTTTGTTCTTCAAATGTCAATAAAGTATTTCCAGGGTAATCAGCAGTTTTGTTAAAGGTTTAACATATTGTTGTTAATATTCAAGAAGATGTTAGCATCTACCCTGCAAAGTGGGTTTATGTAAGACAATTGAGTCCTGGGTACATTTAGCGGTGGAATTAATAGAAGGCTAATGAGAGAGCTGATTGACTCTTTTGTGTACATTACCATTCGGTAATAGTAAAGCATACATTCAGTGTCTATGGATTGAATAATTATACAAGCAGCATTTCAATGTCACGCACCTCTTTTAGCAAATGTCAGCATGCCAGGATGTGACTTGAAATATTTATGTTATTCATTGGCTATGCTTTATGCAATTTGAGAGAATCAGATATAATATTTAGAGAAACCATTAATCTTACCTGCTTATATTTTGCTGATCAAAAAAAAATATTTCAGACTATGTTCCAAATGTGCAGATCCAAATTTTTTATGTATCCAACATTAATATTCTACGTTTCTAAATGGTCTGTAGCTAAATATATATTTTGTTATAGATCTGCACAGGAGCCAACAACACTGTACTATCACCATAAGTAGACATGGTATCTTTCTGGATTATCATTAAGATGTTAACCTGTGCATTATGTTATTTTATCTAATCAATGCCTGCTTCTTCTGGAGGTCTAATTTGACCACTGCGCTTAGTTCGTATAGAATCATATTTCTTTAATGGTTTGTTTTTGTTTTTTGTTTTATTTATTTTTATGTTTTAAATATTTATACATTTTAAATATATTGCTTTTATATTGTTTTTCTTATTTCAAAGAGCAGGAGAGCATACAGATACTTGTACTTTGGTGACAAACATGAATATTGAACTTTTATATAATTTTGAATGTTAAAATATACAGGAAAGACTCAATTGTCTTAATAACTAAAGATCAATATTGTGGTGGAGCCTGCTCCGACCACCTTACAACTGGTGCAGGACTACATACAATTTCCCTGTAAAAAGAGCTACATCACCCTTTACCTCCACCTCCCCATGTTTCTCTACTCTCTAGTTTCTCTACTCCCCTTGCTTCACCTGGGGTATTCGTGCATACTCTCCGGGCAAGATTCAAAATTCACCTGTGGCCATGCGTGCCGACCGTCTGGACACTTTCTCAGCCAGAGGTCTGGCTGCTACCCAGTACAACTGTCATCTTATAAAGTTCCTGAACACGGTCACCCATGAGTACGGCAATTGGAGGCAAGGTTGGAGGTGGAGGGCTATCCAAAACCACCAGAAAGTATGGAACCCCTTGTTTCTGACCAGCATTAACATGAAGACATTCTGGAACTCTGCGCTGGATCAGAGGTTTGCCACATCCATTGAACTTAACACATGGCTTACTTGGGCTGTGTACCTCCCATCCAAGTGCTTTGGGCTTGTATTATCCTTTTTGATTATTCCTATAAGTCTCGGCTAGTGTTTGGGGAAAGGCCATAATCACATTGGCGGAGGTACTCGGTCGGAGTACAGGAGCTCCATAACAACTAAAAAGGGAAATCTATATTTTAAATTAATTTAAGAATTGATGTATGTGAATTTGCTGGCATTTTGGATCTGTACTGTCTTTATGGGTAGGATCAGTGTTTTTACTGCAATACATTTGCTTAGGATCTCCCTAAGTTAAAATGGTAATCCAAACTAGGACTCTGTGCACACTGTGACTAGAGGGGTATCAGCTACAGCTCAAAAATGATGCCCAAAGAAAGCCAAAACAATTTGGAGTTGCTGTATCTCTCGTGCAGAGGGAGCTTGCTGGCATTTTTTCCTCTATCCCCCTATTATTTGCATGCTTTTTATGTTTGGAAGCCTAAAAAAGCAACAGGTAACGTCAACAGAGGTTCCCGTATCCAAAGAGTTGTCTAGCACATTATTATTACTATTTTATTATTTATATAGCGCCATCAGATTCCGTAGCGCTGTACCGGTAAAGGATGTCTCCTATTACAGTGTTCGCACAAGACATTCAGTCAAGCTCTTGTTTTGGCAACTCTTCTGTGGGCTGCCAAATTCACCCTCAATCCTCTAGGAATGTGTCATTGTCTACAATGTTCAGCCAGCATAACACTATGCAAGTAGTGTACAATGTCTTTCCTTTTCATTTTCTCCTAGTTTCTTGTATTTGTAGCTGGCTCCTGAAAGTTAATGCGAATATAAATTAAACCTGGAAATCTTGTAGCCAGGATCCTTTCAGTATCACAATTGATATGTGATGCATAAATGTACATATTGCTTCTTCATTCTGCATTGTTTCATATGGAAAAGTGTGACTCATTTCCATACCTCCTGTAACAGCCTGCGGTACTCCGGCTGAGTACCCCCATTACTTCTCAGCTTCCTAGGTTATTTTCGGACCATCCTGTATCACCTTGCTGAGCAGAAATATTCAATTATGTTTGTAGCACTCAGAAGCCCATATCAAAGCAGTATTCAGGAGTGAAACATACTGAGTGATTATAGCAATAATTATAGCTTATAGTCCACACCACGAGTCGAGACTACATGTAGGGGTTAACCAGAACTAACTTTATTGGAGAGGTATTTATACACACAGAGGCTCATTTGCATAAAATAGGCTAATTTACACACATTTCCCCACCCAGTCCTCTTCCCATAATCCCTTGGTTTTGTTTTGTTTTTGCTGAAATTAACCCTCAGCACCACCAAAATAAACATGTACTCAACTCCATTTTGTCCATATAATTCAAACAACATGAAACAACAAATGCCCCCTGTAAAATTCCCACAAAAGCAAGAGGAACCTCTACCTTGCAACCAAGGGTCCACAATACCTCCTAAGTGTTGATATTTAGGAGAGACAGTAACTATTTTGGGCCCAAAACACTCTGTTCCTATTTACTCCCCTGTCTCCTCTTTTCTTGGAGCTCAATATTGTTGGTGTGTATGAGTGATTAACAGAGCTCCACAGCAATAATTTTCCCAGTAAACTGTCTTTAATCTACAATAAATGTGTTTAGAAATCACGCTGTGTAAATAATATACATTGTCCATGGTCTAAATTACATTATAGTTGCATACAGTGTTATTAGTAAGTCATCTAAAAAATTTTAGTGCCTGTTTGTCTATATAAATGTTGGGATGTATGCATTTCCATGTGTAATACACAATATATGTCCAAGCAGTGATAACAATATTGGTAAAATCAAATCGACATACAACAAAGAATGGGTGAGCACTTGCTAAGTATTGGTGCTGTATAGACCTCCGTTATCGCCACACCTGTAATAAATTCCAAGCAAAAAAAGTGGTCCACCACCCTCTAAAAATAATGTAGTGTTGCTTTATTTATTGCATAGCAGGAAGCACACAAACACCAATGTTTTGACTTACACAGGATTCTTCGTCAAGCTAACACAAGCCACTACATCAACAGAATTTATAGTATGCAATTAATGTGCCATGTGCAAAATAAATTAGAGATGCGTACAAAACTCAAAAATAATGTGTGCAGCAATGATAACATTGTTAGAAATGCAAACATAGTAACACATAAACATACGTATATTTATTTAAAAGAGCAATAAATACATGCAATGTCCACAATTGAAATAATAAACACCTAAACTATAAGTATAGAAAATGATGTTCGAAAAAAAAAAATTCTTTAATATGTTTCAATATATTGAAGCGACCTAAAATAAAACATAATCAACAACATTTTTAAACAAAAACGAGTGGGGGGGGGGGGGTGATTAATCCAATGATAATGAAATAGATCATTATTACCATATAATGTATAAGTGTATTCTGATTAGATGCCATACTATTAACCATGTCCTGAATGGTTTGAGAATGTTTTCCTGAACAGTGAAGATAATTTATTTAAAAGTGATACTCTGTTATTATTTTTCTGCGATACCCCATTAAAACACCCTGGTGCAAGGAATGGCACATAGTAAACCAAGCAGTTTTAAGCATTTGATGTATAAAACAGATTTTTCAATTTAATATACTGTAAAGTAAAGGTTGTATTTTAATTAAAAAAAAAGCTGTCAGGACATGGCACTTGTAGAAGTTTTAATACATTTTGAAACTTTTTAATTATGATTTAAAAGATTTAAAGCATGTCTATCAATCTCTGGATAGCTGAATATTTGCATTCAGACAATTTTTGTATTAATGAAATGGGTGATGCATGCTACAAGCTATGCTTTTTTTCAGAATGGAATCTTTGATGACAGTCATTATTTCAGAGCAACATAGAGAACTAAAAAAGTTATTTAGCAGAAAAAAAAAAAAAAAACGATTACAGAAGATATAAACCAAAAATAAGTTAATGAATAATTTTCCAACAAATATTTGTCTAAGTCTTTAAAAAGATGAAAGTATGACTGGTACCTGCAGACACCATTATAATAATTAAAGGAGCCCTCTAAACATATATCAACTATAGATCATGTTAGTGATTATGGTGCCAAGAGTCTCCGTTTAGTGTCAAGCCATTTTTTTGTCAAAAAGTATTTGACAAATTTTTTTTAGAAGATGGCACCCACAAACAAAAGTCTGGAGTGGCTATTGTACATAGGGAGACCCTTTAAATCATTCACTAATTAGAGATTGTCAAGTAATGTTTTAGACGCAGGAAGGTCTGTGAATCCATGTTCCTTTCATTTTACATAATAATGTTTATTTTGATACATTTTATACCTTTGCCCAACATCTACTTCTACAGTAAGCAAATACTTTGGAGGAGGATTTTAGCAAAGAAGTATTCAGCTCAGTGGGAAATCTGTTTGATAAATATCTGATTTGGGTCTTGATTTAATATTTTTGGATACGTTTTTTAAATCATTCAGATCTGTTAGAAAACCATTTATCTACAAATATTCCCACTGGACTGTAAAATGACATTGTAATCACTTCAACAACTTCATTTTATTGCAGTAGTTATAGTGCCAGTAGCCCCCTCACCTTCCCCCTCCCTCTTAAACCTGTAGGGCTTAGAGGTGCAACTTTAATCCATTCCTCTAGGACCTCTGGGTATGAAAGCTGAGAATATTAGTTACGTGACGCAGGCCCGGACTGGCCATCGGGCATACCGGGCAAATACCCGGTGGGCCGCGGTGGCCATGGGTCGAGGCCGGCAGGGAGATCACAGGATCTCCCCTGCCAGCCCCTGCAGGGCCAGCGCTATCCAAACGCCAGCCCTGCAATAGTCCATGGCAGGCCAGTGGGGAGATCAAAGATCTCCCTCACCGGCCCACATAGAGTATACTGCGGCCGCCGAGGGAGAGAGGGAGGAAGACAGCCTGCCAGCAGAGGAACCCGGCGGAGCTCTAACTTACAGCTCCGCCGGGTTCCTCTCGCGAGATTCGGAGCGTTGCCATGGCAATGCTCCGGGTCTCGAGGGAGTGAACTCTAGCCCCAAAGGCTAGAGTTCACTCACCACTAGGACCACCAGGGATGGATGCCAGCAGCAGGATCCCTCCTCCCAGCCATAATATAAGCAGGGAGGGGGGATATAATCACCCAAGTCACATCAGCCTCACAGACACCCCTGACACTCACAGCACCCTCACTCACACAAATACACACACACACACACACACTGCACCCCTGACACTCACAGCACCCTCACACACACTGCACCCCTGACACTCACAGCACCCTCACTCACACTGCACCCCTGACACTCACAGCACCCTCACTCACACTGCACCCCTGACACTCACAGCACCCTCACTCACACACACTGCACCCCTGACACTCACAGCACCCTCACTCACACACACACTGCACCCTGACACTCACAGCACCCTCACTCACACACACACACCCCTGCACCCCAGCACATCACACTCACACACACACACTGCACCCCTGACACTCACAGCACCCTAACTCACACACACACACTGCACCCCTGACAATTCACAGCACCCTCACTCACACACACACACACACATACTGCACCCCTGACACTCACAGCACCCTCCCTCACACTGCACCCCTGACACTCACAGCACCCTCCCTCACACTGCACCCCTGACACTCACAGCACCCTCACTCACACACACACACACTGCACCCCTGACACTGACAGCACTCACACACACACTGCACCCCTGACACTGACAGCACCCACACATACTGCACCCCTGACACTCACAGCACCCTCACTCGCACACACTGCACCCCTGACACAGCACCCTCACTCACACACACACTGCACCCTCACT